GATGTTTTACTACAACGTAAAATAGATATTAGACGGTATGCAAACGAGATAAAGGAGTGTATATTGAAGTAATTAGGATCCGCTGTGTAGAGAATCATCGAATTGTACTGGTATCTACCAATACTATCCTTAATAAATGCCATCCTTATAAATGTATATAAATACAATACCGTTTTAAATTATACTTATATTTTAATTATGTTTGATTCAATTAATTGAATTAAATATGTTTTAATGAATTCTACTGAAATGATTGTTACATTTTCATCATGTAACTATTTTGTTCTTTTATTTGCCTCCCCAGAAAACAGTCCCACCTCCTCTTGAAGACATTTAGCCTCCTGCCATCGACTTCAGGTTCACATTAGGTAAGCCCTTGAGTGTGTCAGACTAAAGTTGTTGTTTCAGAGGTTAATTCAAGGCGTGTTATGTTTACATACTAATATAATGAGCATCAGGTAAACGTACCCATTTCTATTTTTTGAATCACAGATGGGATGGAGTTGTAAACTATGCAGCACTAGTGTCACCACTCAAAGTGATATTTTAAAACATTATCGACTCCATCATGGAACCTTTGGACAGAAACGTGCCCTGCATTCATGTAGACTGGCCTGCGCTCTCACTTATCAAGATACAAGTTGAAATAATCGTCTGTTCTTTTTATTCTAGGACCCATGTGCCACTTTATATAAATCTCTGAGCATGAGGTGGGGTTAAAAATATGTAGTTGGACATTTTATGAACTATATCAATATCATGACTATGTGGTTCATTTTCTTGCAAACCAGCCTTTTTTTTTGATGGCTTAAACCCCTTGTAATGCATGTGAATAGCACCTCTGTTACCGTCTGTTAACAGCTAATGTAAACTGTCTCGTTATGATTTCAAGACGGATGTGATTTTTGTTGTTGAGGAAAACACATGGTGTGTCCTGATTTGTACTCAATGTAGTGTTTTATTTGTATACAGGGAACAGCAGAGGTCTAAGTGCAACAGGCTCGTGATGCACAGCATGAAGTTATACGTTGCCCACGAGCCAGATGCAGTTGGAATAACCATCAAGTAATAACCATGTGTCTCCATGTATGTGTATGCTTTAAGGTCTGCTGACCAGCTGCTGCTGGTAGTGCCCAAGACCAGGCTTAAAACCCGAGGGCACCGAGCCTTCGCAGCAGCTGGCCCTAGGCTCTGGAACACTCTGCCCCTCCATGTGAGGTCGGCCCAGACCCTAGGGGTTTTTAAATCTACTCTTAAAACACACTTCTTCTCTCTGGCCTTCTAGTTAGAGCGGAGCACGACTCCTGACTTTTCCCTGTGTTTTTTTTTTAATATATATCTGTTGTAATTTATTGTCTTTTATTGTGATTGTAGTAATGTGTTTTTATTACATGTACAGCACTTTGGCTCGACCAAAAATTGCTTTTAAATGTGCTTTATAAATAAAACTTGATTTGATTTGAAGCCCGAGAGACCCCGGTACCGGGGCACTGCCACAACATCTTGCAGGAAACAGTGTCTGAGGGCATGTTCATTTAATAAAAGTATGAATGTTTTATATCAATGTAACGGGAAGAAACTCATCTAACTGATCCTTTTTTTTTTTTTTTTTAAAGAAAACCCACAATGCTAACACTGAGCCTCTGAATTAGCAACGAGCGAAAAATGCTAACACCTTACTGCACCGAAAATCACTCACAAAACCTTATTATTAGGGCTGTCAGTCGATTAAAATATTTAATCGCGATTAATCGCATGATTGTCCATAGTTAATCGCAAATTAATCGCACATTTTTTATCTGTTCTAAATGTACCTTAGAGGGATATTTCTCAAGTTTTTAATACTCTTATCAACATATGAGTGGACAAATATGCTTTATATGTTTGTTTATTATCATTTGAACAATGACAAATATTCTCATGAATATTAAACAACAACCTCTGAACATCACAAATATTCGCCTCAATTCAACCTGGAACCTCTCGTGTGTGTGGTGTGTGTGTGTGTGTGTGTGTGTGTGTGTGTGTGTGTGTGTGTGTGTGTGTGTGTGTGTGTGTGGTGTGTGTGTGTGTGTGATGTGTGTGTGTGTGTGTGTGTGTTGTGTGTGTGTGTGTGGTGTGTGTGTGTGTGTGTGTGTGTGTGTGTGTGTGCGCGCATTTGCATTTGCATTTGCATTTGCATTTGCATTTGCATTTGCATTTGCATTGGAGCTATGTGCAGCTCAAGGCATTATATGCTCAAACGGGAGCTGCCTGCCCTGGACGCTGCAATCATGTTGCGCGCACTCTCCGTGCTGAGTGTGCTGACTTTTCGTACAATGTCCCACTGTCTGGCTACCTGCATAAAGTCAAGTGCTCGGCGCAGTTGTCGGCGAAATGTCGCTCCTCTGTTTTCATTGAAACAGCTCCTTATATCCGTTAGCGCAGCTAGCTAGCACCAGATGCTAACAACAACACGTAAGGTGTGCCTCGCTCGCCCCACACATACACACACCCTTCCGGTCCTGCCGGTGAGCGTGGAAGTGTGGTCTGCCACAAGCGGGCGGCAGGAGCGGGGCTGTCAGCATCAGCTTGTAGATGGTATTTTAAACTCGACGCGCTCTGAAACTACGGGGCGACCGAGGACAAAAAATACACATGTGTTAATCGCGTTAAAATAATAAGTGGCGTTAATTTTTTTTTGCGTTAACGCGTTATTAACGCGTTAACTTGACAGCCCTACTTATTATTTATCTTTTCACCACATCCAACACATCGTTTCACATCGTGAGGTGACACAGAATCAACACATTCAAAGTGCAGCAAATGTTTCAACATATCAGCTTAGAGGGGAACATTTTAACAAAAAATTACATAAACATAGGATTTTATGAGATAACAGGATAAATACCTCCACCTGCTCCTGTTTTTTATTAGGGTTGAGCAGCAAAATTGCTACATCAGTATTAGTCCATACTGTATCCTACATTTGGAGAACATACACACTGAATTAAAAAACAAGACAGTTTGTAAGACTTTTTAAAGACTCATTCTGCATGATATTAGAGTAAAAAACATCTTTCTATCCATTTCTCTTGGCCATTTAAAAAAGTATCAAAGGGTCCCTATTATGCTCATTTTCAGGTTCATATTTGTATTTTATGTCTCTCTCTGCTGTGACATGTTTTAAAATTAGGTCAAAAATCTCTTTATTTTTCTCTTACTGCCTGTGCTGCAGCACCTCTTTTCACCCTCTGTCTCAAACCAGAGCCCAGTCTTAACCCTTCTATTGTCTTTGTTCCCCCCCCCCTTACTTTGGTGTTCGCGGTCACATTTGACCGGTCCTGTTTTAACTGCTATTACATTAACACAAAAACCATTAATCATCACCAAATTTCATTTAACACCCTTTCAAACTGTAAATATTGTATCAGACTACTGGTATACATGAAAAACTGCAGTAAATATACAAAGAATAGACACTGAACATGTATTGCGTGTGATCCATGTGGGGGGATGGGCACATAAGAGCGGGAAATGTGTCAAATTGTTCTGTGTGTGTGTGTTTGTGTGTGCCAGGTGTGATTCACATGGGGGGATTGGGCACATAAGGGGGGGGGGGGGGGGGACACATCTAGAGCAGTGGTTCTCAACTGGTGGGTCGGGACCCAAAAGTGGGTCGCGGACCCGTTTCAAGTGGGTCACGGATGTGTGAGTGAAGAAAAAAAAAATTGGAATTCTTTTTTTTTTTGGGGGGAAAAATGCAAACTTTTATTTTGAAGGACCGATTTTCTAACGCTGTGCATGCAGTAGGCGTAGGACGTAGACTGGAATTACCGGAGACCATAAATGGTTTTGAAAACTTCTGTCACGTAGTGATCATCTTCTCAATAAAACATCTCGTTTTTTCGAGTCTTCTGGCCAATCAGAATCAAGATTGTTGCCGGAAGTCCCCACGGAGAATAACTGAGGTAGAACTATTCTTTATACATCCATGGGTACAACTTCAGATAAAAATGAACACATAATGAAATATGACCCCCGGTTTGATGATTGACAGGTCGCAGAACAATGGGAGCTATCTACCCTTACCCACAATTTAAAGTAAGTCACACAGAATCTCCTCTTTACTCTTCTCTCAGCAAGCTGTCAGAACTAAGTGAAAAACAAACAATGGCATAAAATATTATTAATATGTCGGGTAGTAATAGATTTATTTATTTTCTTCTCAGAGTGTACCAGAATGCGTAGTTTATGTTAGTATTTCTAAAAATCTCCTGGGGGAGAATCCCCCCAGACCCCCCTGCTGGGGTTGGGTTTTCAGCATGTGTGCCTTTTTATAGTTCAGCTTTGATTCCATTATCTCATTAAACCTTTTTTAAAAGCATACTTTAGTTCTGTGAAGGGATATATGCACTGTACTTCACTTTTATTAATATTGTATTCTGAAAAGCGTATATATTACAGCACGATTTTTTGTTGAATAGATTTGAGTGCTTCAAAATGTTGGGTCACGATGTATTGACCAAGTAAAAAGTGGGGTCCCGAGGCCTAACCAGTTGAGAACCACTGATCTAGAGTATGTGTGTGTTTGTGTGTGTTTGATCTGATCCGGATGGTTACTAATTCCTTTTCTTTATGGCGGTCATTTTTCACCGGGAACACCATGGGTGTTACAAAGTTGACTAAATCATCCAAAATTCAATGAAAGTGGTGATCAGCAATTGTATATGTTCAAATGTCTACTGTGAGGGATATCATAAAGCCTTAATGCAATCGAATTTAAAACTAAAAAGTTATGATTGATGAAAGTAGTAAATCGGTCAGATTTGACCCGAAGACAACCGGAGGGTTAAAGAAACTTTGGGATTTTAGCCTTTGCAGACCATTTACATGCACAGAAACCGATAGAACACACTACAGGAAAGGGAAAACCCCCAAATAGCATAACAGGGCCACTTTAAATGACCTTTCTGATAGGAGTTTCATGATGAAAGCCAAAATCCTTGAAGTAACAAGCGTTTACAAGAATGATCAATTTTATTTCTTGAAAGAAAATCAGTAGCGCTCTCTGCCTCTTTATTTGTTCAGTTTCTTCCTATATGAAAGCATTACTTTGCATTCACACAACCATGGAATTGCAATACACAAACAGTACAAAAATGCATGACCCTAATGGACGGTTGAATAATAAAAGGCTCCTCTTTGTGGGGTGTCACTCAAGCCATGAGAGATCACACTAACAGAGGGTGTGAGAAGCTGTATCTTTCCAGAATGATGAGAAATAGGTTGCTGATATTCTATATGTCTCTAATTGTCAACAAAGCACATGAAAAGACCAACAATAAATTGATCCTTCAAATAGGAAAATATCTACTGTGTTATTGCCCTGTGGCACAGCGCTTCCTTGTATGTAATGTGAATGTATCCACCGCTAATAAAATAGTCCCTAACAAATGCACAATTTCCTTTTGTTTGAGTTATTTTAGGAAAAAATGTTAGGAAAGAAAAGTATATGTTTTTGAAAGATTTACATTTCCAGTAGGTACAGTTTGGAAAGACAGACAAACATGTTGTTATTCTAGGTCTTTTCATGGGAATCATTGACAAAAAACTAGTATAGAACACAACAATTGTATCCTTTAAGACTGTACAAATGCAGTAAACTTAGAGAATATGTAACTGAAACAAGGAATGCCCCAAATGCAATTGAAGTTAATTTTTTAAATACATCAAGTATCCTAGGTACATCTATGGAAATCTAAGCACTGACACAAATTGAAAGAAAGATGTTCAACACTCCAGTAGAGTCCAGAAACTTGGAGATTCATGTTTTCTTCGTCCATCTTTACATAGTGTAGATGTATCCCAATTTCCTACATCCATTAATTTGTAGTTCATTTCGAAATTCAAAGTTAAATCATACAGCAAACAATCTATTTAATCCTTCAAACGACTGGCAGTGTTACAGAGTTTCAATCAAAAACATAATCTATGTATAAAAAAATTGTTTTATCACATCATAAAACCTCACTTCAGTTTTTGCCTTGTTTTGCTGCTGTGGAGAAACAGAACAAGGAGGACCTCCTTCTCCTCTAATTCTCTTCTTTTGCCCCTTTTATTTTGAAAAGCTATACATGGACTTTGGTAATGAAGAACCATATTTGTTTTCTGATCCAAAACAGATGGAGAGTAGAGAAAAGATGACCCTAAACATTTATTCTCTAGGTTTTCTTTAGCCTGGATGTCTTGGGCAGTATGTAAACATTATCAGTTGCCATTTTGGTTCATCTGAAGATAATCGTTGTGTAATTTCTCCTGAGCGTCGAAGAACTTTTGCAGCTTCTTGGCTTGTCCTTTGCTCAGCTCCTTCCCTTCTACATCGTGAGTGGGGAAACCCTGTTAACAGAAACAAGAACACAGGAACACATATCAACTTCATTCTGATTAGTTTCCGTCTCAATGTAGCAAACATTTCACCCAAATTTAGAAAAATCAATGTGTTTCCTTGTGCTACCGTTACTTAGATAGAGCAATACACAAGTTTTGGTGGACACAACAGGATAGGATAAATAATAACTATTTGACATTATTATTTGTATATGTGAAAAAGCTAAGTATTATGCTTTATTTCTTTTGTGCAAGAGGGACTTACCATTTCATCGAATTTGGAATACTTGTCGGTTTCTGAGCGAAACATTTCACATGGAGGGACTTTCATCTTCGCCAGTTTAGCCATCTGAAACAGAAACAAAAGACATGAGTACGTGAACTTGTTCCCGATTAGGGAAACAACACTTTCCTTTATGGAAGCATCAGAGTGACCTCTTGTTCCTGTTTCTTCTTTGCAGCTTCTTCCTTCTTCCTTTTCTTCTCTTCTTCCACCTGTGAAATAAAAAAACAAGTTACCTTTACCATCATATTAGAAAATCAAACAAATAAGGTTCATGCTTTTTAAATATTACTACTCAACAAACTGACTGTTAGATTTCAATTTCTCATTAGCAGAGACCCTTTTTGCGTGTGGTTGTGTCTTTATATTTTTAGAAAAAAAGGATACAGCTTCTATTATGTTTAACATATTTTTGGGCCAGAGAGCCTTTATTGGAGATCTTAGAATTGAAAGGGGGGAGGACATTGCCTGAAATATTTGGCTGGGTCGGGATTCGAACCGGCTTACTAGGCAGCGGTGAGCTGGGCCGCCAGCTGTAACCACTGTGCTATCCGGCAGCCCGAGAATACCCTTTTTTTCATACCCCTCTGTTTCAGTTCTGTTCCAAAAGTGTGGATTTCGTGTCTGTAGCTTTAAATGCTAATGAGCTGCTGCTGGCCACGCCCCTCTGAGAAGTGTTTAGTTAAAAGAACACAATGGTGCTCTAGGAGGAGATTCAGGTGATAAGGGGGGGGGGTTACCATGGTTTGTTATTGGCTAATGGTTACACGAGCCAAAAAAACATTGTGACATCACAAAGTGGCCAAAATCTGATCAGCTCATTTTCAGACAGGTTTTTATAAAAATGGATCAGGACAAAAAGAGAGTGAGTCTTTTTTCCTGAAACTTTCCGAATCTCTCTACACAGAGGGGACACATGCTGATGTATAAAAGACATAAACAAATTGTTTTGCATAATAGGTGATCTTTAAGTACTTTTGAGGGACTAGTACTTTACCTCAGTATTTAAATTTTGTGATACTTTAAACTTCTAACATTTTGGAAGCCGATATTAATCTCCACTTCATTTATTTGACTTTTTTACCTTATTTTACAGATTGAGGTTTACAGCTAATGTCGCTATGTGATTACATAATTAATGCAGATACAATGAAAGAGGGCATCTCATCGCTCACCTGTTTCTTCTCCTCTCGCTCCTTCAGTAAGGTCTCCTTGTCCACCAGTTTCACCACTGTGGGCAGACCTGTAACACAGCCACTGTTCATCAGAGTCACTCAGCACTCACACCCATCCCAGTGTTAACCAGGGATAGAAACAAATCTAATATCTCAAAACATTTATTTGACCGAATAATACTAAATCAATGTTGCAACAATATTGTTGGGTTGACTATTGGGCATTTGCAAGATAATGACACAATAAGATTTTTGATAAATAATCCTCAGTAATGTTTTTATAATGATAAGTGACTGGGCAATGCTTGTATACTTTCTTCTCCTTTCTGTTCTACAGGACAGAATATTTAAGTTAACAGCTCCATCACCTTCATGATCCTCCAGACGGACCCCCAGCTCCGGTAACGTATCGTCTCGGACAACATCACACAGTTGTAGCAACTCCATCACTAGATGAGATAAAACAATGGACTTTAATTAGACTCTGAAGAGGAAGGTAAATATGTTGGAGAACAGAACTATTAGCATCTGTTGGACTCTCAAATGTATAAAACATGTTCTTACCTTTCTTGTCTCTTGCTATTTTACGGACTTCCTCTCTGAAGTTTGACAACACTGAGAGGTACGGCATCACTGTGGTCTCCAGCTGCCACACAAAGCAGAGACAGTATTTCAATGTAAGTTACTATAGTACTACTATAGGGGCAGTAACAAGCTGTGAAATCATTTGTTTTCCTCACAGTAAGCAGAGCTACATTTTAACTAGGGATGCTCCGATCGATCGGCCGCCGATCGACATCGGCCGATACTCACTCTCTGCCGATCGATCGGTGCTCTCTAAAAATGCCGATCGCGAGTGCCGATCGCATGACGTAAAATACATGACACTTTTCTCTGTGCGCGGCAAAACAAGCTCGCCAAAATGGCTTCTCCAGTCTGGCAGTATTTTAAGGTGTCCGAAAATGACAATAAAATAGCGGTATGCAACGTGTGTGTGAAGCAGAAATCCTGCTGCTCCGCCCGCTGTGACGGACCGGTGAGCGGAGCAGAACACACATTAAGAGTTAGACCTAACACACTTAGCTATTTTATCTACCTCTGGAACAAGCTAAACTAGTTATACATATATTTATTCTTCACTGTCGGGTCACTCATTACTGGATCAGTGAGCTGCAGGAGATACTGACGGGCTGTCAGGAGAGAGAGGGAGAGAGAGGGAGAGAGGGGGAGAGAGGAAAAGAGAGCGCTTCCGCTCATTTCTCCCGTGTTATTATCCCAAGTTAATGTAAACTTGAATAATGTACATCATTTGAATGTAATAATTATGTTGGTTGTTGTTTGTGGAAGCGCCAGTGAATGAGCCCCATTAACTGAGTTTTAAACATCACTTTAAATGGAAGATCCCCATAGGCCCCGCCCACTCGATCGGATCGGCGATCGGTATCGGCCGATACTGATTCCGGCCCCAAAATTGGCGATCGGAGCATCCCTAATTTGAACAATAAGCATTCAAATGTATCACATTTCTAACAGCGAAAACTGAAAAAAAAGTTTCTACTTACATCAACGTTCTGACTTTGTCCCACTGGGAAACCGATGGGCTCTGATCCTTCGATGGCACCGAATACCTAAAGGACAAAAGTCTCATGTCAGTGAGTTCAAACTGCTTTCTCTGCCAATGCAATACAGCACAATGAATCTTAATTGAATACAGGAACCTTGATGAACAATGGTTGCTACTTGTTCCCACCTTCAGTATGCTGGTGAGGTAGGCAGCGATGCTCTCCATCAGCATGCGGTTGGGCCTCAGCTTGGCGCTCTTCCTGCTGGCGATGTAGCTGTTGCTCTGGCCGACCAGCACTCTCATCTCCTCCATCGCGGTGCGCGTGTCCACGTTGTCACACAGAGCCTCATGGATGGCAGACTTCCTGTCGTAGAAACTGGACGAAACAAGTAGCCATTTAGCTTTTAGTTGTGATCTGTGTTTTTAGTGGTTTAAATGTGCAAATAAGTCCTGAGCCATTAAAGGTGGGGTAGGTAAGTTTGAGAAACCGGCTCGAGATACACTTTTTGTTATATTCCATGGAATGCTCTTAACATCCCGATAGCAATGAATATCTTAAGTGCTTTGACAAAAAATCCATAAAAAAATGTCATCTGTGGAAGCCGTAATACTGTAAAAAGCACGACCAATCATTTTAGCCGGCCCGGCTAAAATAACTGGATGGCCTACCTGCCTGTCAGCCTTCCATCTGTGCACAAACTTATCTCGTGCCCTCATTGGTCATGTGCGCGTTCGTGTGTGTTGGAGGAGGGGCTCTATAAGGAAGTGGCAGATTTTCTCCGGTTGTGTATTTTCAAATTCTAGCGATCTCGAGCCGGTTTCTCAAACTTACCTACCCCACCTTTAAGCTATCGAGAAGGGCTTCTGCATAACGTATTTTAAAGAATTCAGATGGCTCAATCTTTTCTCTCTTACCTGTTGTTGAGCTCCACCTCTGCTGCCTCCCACTTCTCATATCGCCCGGTGATATCAGTAGGAGCGCGCATTATGTCTTTCACAGTCAGGAAGAACTCCTGGTAATTAAAACGAGCACAAAACAACAGATTCATAATAGCATTCATACCACCCCTGCACTACAAAGCCAGATGGTTTGTTATATCGTCAGCTTACATTCATGAACTTCTCGTACTGCACGGCTGACTCCATGGTGTTGGAGGAGTAGTCCAGGGTGTCTTTCCAGGAATGCATCAAGAAAGCCAGACGGAGCTGACGGGCTGAAGGAGGGCGGAAAGAGGAACACATTTCACATCTGGCCCAAGAACAAGATCGGGTGACAGTTCATTTGATTCTTCTAGACTGTTTTGATGAAATGGTTGAAGAGTTTTTGTTGAAACTGAAATGGAAGTGTGACATGAAACTGAGCTACACTTGACATTTTGGATGGAATCATTTCAATAAGGAGACTGTCCTCTGACACTAGTGACCTCAAGCTGAGCTGAGCAGTCACCTGAGTTCTTTGCCAGGGCGTCTTTTATAGTGATGAAGTTCTTCAGAGACTTTGACATCTTGCAGCCTGCGATCGTCAGGTGTCCGGTGTGCAGGAAGTATCTGACCCAGTGATCATTCTCAAAGAAAGCCTGCGAGGAAAACATCCAATGACGATCATGGTGGTGGTTTAAAAATGCATCACAGTTAATCATCTTTAAATACCTCTAGTAATGTCTTTTATGACACGATGGATCAATATTACAACTGTGGGCAAGGTAAAGAGCTTCAAAGACAAACAATAGCAAATATTTGTAATAAATAACTTTGCTCTTGTACCTCGGACTGAGCCAACTCGTTGTCGTGATGGGGGAATCGAAGATCAAACCCCCCACCGTGGATGTCCATGGACTCTCCCAGGATGGAGCCAGCCATGGCCGAACATTCAATATGCCAGCCGGGCCTTCCCTAAATCAGTCAACAAAAACAAAACAATCAATATAAAAAATGGCTCCTAATGTTATTCCTCCTGGAACAGACTGTTAGTGGTTTGACAGCATTAGGAGTGAACTCTCACCTTCCCCCATGGAGAGTCCCATGAAGGCTCTCCGGGCTTGGAGGCCTTCCACAAGGCAAAGTCGTTCTGGGACTTTTTCTCCCCTAATCTGTCAGCAGAGATGCTCAGGTCACCTGCAGGGCCACAGCAAATACAGAAAACAAACTAAATGACCATATTATCTGACTTATTATATAAGTAAAACAGTTACAACGAGAAAACCGTCTTCAATACTCATGTTAAAGTCACTATGTGCAACATTAGAATGTTTCAGACTCTGGCGACTCCTAGTGGTAGACTCAAAAAAGACACCTTGGACTTTATTTTACACACTTGTTCAAATAGAGCACTTAACCAATAAAAAAAACCACTCACAGACCACCTAACTCCCCAAATATCCCAAAGCAATAGGCCTGCTTACCACTCCAACAATAACAAAGCACAGCCTAATAATAACAACAGCTTAACGTGACCTCTCTATATCGCCTCGTTCACACATTAAATCACAATACAAATACAACTACAGATTATATAAGCATTTCGTTCAAATGCGATTTAAAATGCTCTCAGCTTTTACACCTCTTATGAAATGTAGACTACATGTATTACGGAGTTTATGTCCAACAGACTCACAGATCGTTGGCTACTGAGAGAAATGCAAAATACACCGCATGTAGTACGACACAAACCTCCACTGTGGTTTTTCAAAACAAAAAACAGTAAAACTATGGTCGCAGGCCCAAGTTTAACTCTCTGAGGTCTAAGCCCTTTTTTCACATGTTAGGCTCGCCTGGGCTTTTTTTGTAAAAATGCTATTAAAACATGAACCTTGGTGACCATCGGGCTGGCCTGCATGGTCTGCCTACAAAAACAAATACAAAAAGTGTATGCCGCCCCAACAACAGCCTCTGATCCTCAACAGACTTCATGCAATGCTTCATCGGATGCATATATTAGATAATAATCTCTATCTCACTCCTAAAACATCTAAATCTACTTCCAGCATGGATAAATGTTCATAAAAGACATCCATTGTTTGTTTTATACGCTTCTTGAAATCTAAAAAAACACATCATTTTTCTAGAACAGATTACAAATCGCCTGGAAATGGTACAAACAAGTGACGAAGGTGTGACGCTGGGCTATATCATGCAATCGAAAGTTAAGCTCGCTCCATTGCGGAGATATTCCTGCGAGAGTGCGGAAAACTTATATTAATTGATTTATTTAAAAGGTGAAATTGTACCAATATACTCACGGACCACTAGGGGGTGCTTATGGACCACCAGTGGTCCGCGGACCACACTTTGAGAAACACTGCAATAGCGATTGAAAGCCGCTATAATCACAAAGCCAGTTCTGGTAGCTGAACTGTGAGAGAATGTACCTTCTCCCTCCTGCAAAGCTTTCTGATCTCCGACAGCCTCTGGCACCAGTTTTGCATACGAGTGGTGCGGACAGCCATCAAACTTGGAGGTGTTAAAGTACACAGAACCGTTCGATTCATACCTGTAAACATCAGAAAGCCAAATAAATGTAACCAATCCATTAATAACTGACGATGCGGGTGTGATATGAATTGTAAACACATGTTTCTTCCTCACCCGTAACCGTTGGAGATCACCTTTTTCACAAAGTCCACGATCTCAGGCACGTATTCACTGACTCGAGTCAGAACGTCTGGAGGAAGAACCTGAGGGTCACACACACGATTAATGCACAATAACAACAATATAACAAAAATACATACTACATGGCCATAAATATTCCACAGTTTGGACATTTCTTTGCTTCTACTTACGTTCAGGGCTTCCATGTCTTTATGGTAATCTCCCTCCCAATAGTTAGGCAGAATGGAGAAGATGGAATTCTCTGTGACTTGACTTCCAAACTGCGTATCCAGCCAATCAGAGAGCAAGTCCTTGGAGTTCTGCAGCAGCTCCTAGGAAGAAAGAAAGAATGGTTTAAAGTGTGGAAATGTGTGTTTTTATATGAACTATTAATAAGTGTTGTTTATTTAGTTTTTCTCTTATTTAATACAGTATCTAGTAGTACAATTTTTGGTTGATTTTTTCCTGACATTGCTTTCACGCCATTATAAATTATTCAATTGAAAGCAAATGACATGAGGATGAAATATCAAATGAGATACTGTGTATTCCAGCCAAAATGTAAAATGCACTTTTATTTTTCTTCAGTTAGAAGACAAGATAGCCTGGCCAATATATTTTGTTCAGATAAGCAAGTAAGAAACGTTTCACATTCTCTGTCTCTCAAGTCAAGTAAATCACATGTGGATTTACAGTAAGTACCATCAGTGAACAGACTCCTCAGCCTTACCTCTGCCAGGGGCTGTACGACCTCCTGGGCTGCTTTGCCCTCCATGGCCGCCTGCAGGGGCTGCAGGGCGGCCGCGACAGCAGCGTCCAGCCTCTCCAGCATCTGCTTCTTATCGGGGTCTGTGGTCAGAGCCAAGTTAGCCTGAAAGGGCTGAAAATGAGCACACACAAAGAGTTCGGTCAAAACAATGACACCCACAGGTCATCTACACTTTGTAGGTAGAATTGTAAAATCATAGATATGCACATCTATTGTGTTGCTAGATTTAAAGCTATGTATGTCAAGAGATATATCTGTAATGTCTCTGGTGGATCAAATCAAGTCTGACCAATTGCAGCAATTTGTTTAACCAGTCTCTGCTTTCCAAATATTTGATCTGATATACTTGGTGAATTGTCTGCAAAAGACAACAGTGCTTAGCTCCGGCGGCAGCAAAGAGGTTTGTAATTACACTTTGTTTGTTTAGTGACACCTTTGAACAAAGCATTGTGTGGTCACTTTGTTCTAATTAAGATTGATTACATTTGAATATATGATTAAATGAGTCATTATGAGTCAACAACCATATGGGAGTGAATGCAGTATGTGTCACTTTATCGTTCAAGTGCACCAAAACGTTTTAGTTGCCAAACATGATTAGTGATTAATAATAATCTTGAGTGATGTGATTTGTGCTTGATCCCTAAAGCAAAGAGCAAAGAGTCTTGTTTGTATCAGCGCTCCCAGAGAGCGTGTTCTCACCCCTCTGGCGCTCAGGACGTCCTGCAGGATCTGAGCGGCGTGCGGCTGCTTCTCCTTGTACTGCTCCAGCAGGTGGTTCTGCCGGGCCCTCTTAATGATCTGAGAGAGAGACAGAGCCAACAATGGTCAACATCGAGACTCTACAACCTACTCATCATGGACTTAGGAAAACCTGTATGACAGTGCAATAGTAGACATTTAGCTATTAGCTATAGCCTAAAGTACATTTTTAATGAATCACCATGATGATATAGTACATAATTACTACCCATTACAAATACTGTAGTTATATCGATAGTGACATATCCAGATGTAATACTTCAATACTAACACTCATCTACAATACAGATGCCATGGTGTTATATGCAGATCCTTCAAAATAGATATATAATCTTTAGATGAGGTCACAGTTCAAATTATCGGAAAATAAAAAATTGTTAAGAATATATTGGACTATACTGTAATGTATAAACAAAGGCTAATATATACATATATTATAAAAGTGTGCAAGTTGCATCTTTGGCATTCACATTTTAAAACACCGAAAACCACTATTTGTTTTATTTAAAGAGCAAAGAATGTCAGACTATTTATCTTATTTTAGAAGTTAAAACTGCAAACACGCAAGAAGAACATTTGATATAGTTGGCCAGACCTAGAAAATTGATGTCAATTATTTTAATTCATTTAAACTTCATTATATGTTATACTTCACACTCACTTTGTCATCTATGTCTGTGATGTTCATGCAGTAGAGGACGTCGTACTTAAAGTAGTCCTTCAGTATCCTTCGCAGAATATCGAATGATATGTAGGATCTGTACAGAGAGACGGATTAGAAAGTCAAATATTGTTACACCACAAAAACCTTAGCCGAATGAGTCATTTTGCACTTTTTCCCCCTGTGATGTGTTTACCTGGCGTGTCCCATGTGTGAGGCATCGTACACTGTTGGCCCGCAGCTGTACCATGTGACCTTGTTCCCGCACTGGGGGACAAACGGCTCCTACAACATAAAGTTAGTGAGATGATGGAAAAACAAAGAATAAACTGGATGTGATCTAAACACATCCTCAGGTAACAATCTGATTAGCTCCCTTTTTATAGCCTGTGGTGGTTTGACCGTTTTAAGATTTTTCATGATTGTATTTCAATGACTTTTTACCAATAACTACTTTAAAGTTTCTCCGCTGTGTTACATAAATCGATTTTGTATTATATATTTAGCTGCTAATCATTTTTGTTGACAGTGTTTCACGAATACTTTTTACAACAAAGACATCACACATTAAAAAGGAAAGCAAACGTACTGAGTACAAAATTAAACGTAGGCTACAAACAAGAAGATTCCTTTTTTTAAACACACAACTTGCAGTTATGTGAGTATTTTTGATGGACTCAAACAAAATGCAAGGCAGTTTCTTGTCATACATACAGTACATGCTCCTTATAACCCTATAAGGATCTTTAACAGAAAAGTCAATCTGTATCTTTCCGTTTATACACAGACAGTTTCACTTTGTAAATCTCCATCACACATATGTCTTTTCACAAATAACACAAGGACAGTCCTTTTGGATATTTGCCCCCCCCCCCCACACCTTTTCTCTGGTCAGGCTGTTGTAGAGCCTCAGATGGGGAACATTTGTTCCTGCTGGTGGAGACCAAGGGGGCTGAACCCGCTTTCCTTTCGCTGAAATCAAGAAAGAAAAAATTATTAGAAATGGCAAAATGTAAACAAAATATGTATATGTCCTTCAAAAATACATCCTATAATCATTTAAGCCAGACACACAGAGCAAACATAGTCAATTAAAAAGATTAGCTTGATAACTTTGCAACAAGTTTTTCCCAAAATCAAATGTCATGTGATTAGATTGTGTTTTACCTGCATGCATCTATAAACTATTCTGAATGTAAAACGATCTTGAAATGATTGTGCAGCAGATGTCAAGCATTAAAGACTTCTTCTACTGTAGTGATGAATATGTGTTCCCTCATCAAGTGCAATTCTTTCATCGTGATGCTAATGTGCTTCTTCATCTACAAACAGCACCATTTCTAGAAATGGACTAAGAGTGAAACTGAAATGGACAGGATACCCTTCGAACACACTGAATGCATCTTCTCCATCTAGCATGACTAATTGAAGACTTAGACTGAGAGTGAAAGCAATTCTAAAGAGAACACACACTAAGAAAAGATGCACACAAAGTGACAGCTGGAGGAAAAAAACTAAAATAAAATTAGATAACAGACATTTTGCAAGGATGATCTTGAATGAACATTTGCTCCAGAAACGTTAAAAAAAACTGTGTTGAGAAATACAGCAAAAGGGCGGCAAAATCATTCGTACAAGCAATGTGGACATAAACCCAAAAGTGAAGGATTATCTTTTCCCCAAAGGAATGTAGCCATACATGTTAAAGTTGCTCAAACCAGAAGAAGAAAAAGCTGTCGCATGCCGAGCCAGCCAGCAGGGAACAGCACACATCTAATGTTTTTAAAACACACGCCACCCTGAGATAAATGATATCTAATACACTGTAAATGTCTCACTTCTGTGTCAGATAACCTTTGGGTGGGTGTCTGTAGGCACATGAGTGAGGATTGTTCCAGCTGCTGACGTTTTGTTTGAACAATGATAGACTAACTCTCACCTGCACGCAGCTACAGGCTCTGTCCGTTAGGCAGACTTCAACAGAAACAATCTGTCCGGGCATAATGTTTGATGATAAAATTCCCCTTCTGCACAATTTGTATTCAAACGTTCTAATGAGTCAGTATCTGCCACTCTCATGGATGCCGTGTGCAATGAGATGCCGTCGCTGTGAGGACAGAGCTCCACAGTTTGGGAAATTGAATTTTGCAACGGCCCGTGAAGTGTTTATGAGTGCTTTCAGTGACATCTATATCCAGAACAGAATTAGAACACCGCCTGGTTTCAAGTCGACAGTATCACACCTTGAATAAAATGTTAGAGAGAAACAGGCTGACATGTATCTTGGTTTGTTTACACAATGTTTTTATTCTGTCTTATTTGATCTTTGAATATGTAAGTCTAAAGCTGCGGGCAATTCTTTGTGTTAAGAATTCCAGCATAGGCTTACATAGTATTCATTAAAGGGGCCCTATCATGCTTTTTGGGGTTTCCCCTTTCCTATAGTGTGTTATATAGGTTTCTGTGCATGTAAAGGGTCTGCAAAAGTTACAATCCAGAGAGTTTCTTTACGACCACTCCCCCCCCCTACCTGAAACGCCTCCATTGGACTCCTTTGTTTATTTCAGGAACATAGTGACATCATTATGTAACACTTGCGCTTCTATTGGCTAAGGGGCGGGACATCTCTAAGTGGTTGACCAATCACAACAGAGCCGGCTTGCTAACCAATCAGAGCAGACTGGGCTCTGGTTTCAGACAGAGGGTGAAAAGAGGTGCTGCAGCAGAGGCAGTATGAGACAAATAAAGAGCCTTTTGAACATTAGAGCATGGAGACATGTCACAGGAGAGACACAAATATAAACCTGAACATTAGCATAATATGTCCTCTGTAATTTCGTTTTTGATTCTATTAAGTGTACTTATTAAACTTGAAATAGTCTACTTTTTAATCAAATATAAATCAACATGCCTTGATGATGTTATTTTTTATATAGCCTATAGAAACGTTGAACGGCACCAAAGGAAACACTGCACGACATGCTGAATGCTACTGTGAGGAGTGCAAAACTGGAAATGAATTCATTTAAATGCAAACTGTTGCTGGGGTCATGCACGTTTTCAGGGCTTTTACTAAGGTGTGAGTGTTCCCTGCCTCGGGGACCTCAGGCTACATCAGGGGCCACGTCTAAGCTGGATCATGCCTCTCTACTCACTGCTGCTCTCAGGGAGGATGTCCAGCTGCAGGGCTGCCATGTGTCTGTACCAGCGCAGAGTGTGGACATGGTGCGGGTCTGGGGGCCTGTGGAAGAGTTTAAAGGCTTTCTGGTCGGCCTGGGAGGGGCAGAACCCCGCCAGGTAGCTGCGTGAGGTGAGGTAGTCATTCAGGGCCGCTGCCAGCGCGGCCTCCTCATTTATCTGTAGCAAGGGGCCATACTCAAAGGCTGCAGAAACAAGAGGGCAAATATTCGCAATGGATTACCGACCAGGCTGCAGCAGCCGGAGGGAAAACTCTAAACAACAGCACCACAAGTTTACCCGGCACACCACAAAGCCAACTACAAAAAACGAAACTGAAATCATACTGATGACAACTGGAACTAACTCCTGATGTCACAAAAAACCGACTGGCACATATTTTGCCTTTGAGGGAGTCTACAACCCAGGGCTGCACAATGTGGAAAACAAGAACTTATTGAGATCATTTTAACTGATATTGGAGGCAATGATTGTATTTGTGTCATTAATCTCCTTTACATTGAAAAACATACTATGATCATGGTAGGATTTTTTAAAGAGGTATGTACCAAACAAGTATGTTTTGTAAGTCTGTAGAACACAGTTTGCAGCACCCCAACCCTTAATTCAGAATAATACATTACAGCTCAAAATAGCTTTCACTGCAATTTGTATATATTGTATGGCAATTACAGTAGTTGCAATCAAAAACAGTTTTAGAGACATGTGTAACTGACATGATCTGTCAGAGTTAAGCCTGTCTCTGGCCGTGGTGCTGGATGGGAACAATCCTCCTATACAGAATGGAACATGAAACGCTACAAGATAAAATTACTCTAAATACATCATAATAAACAAGTAAAATCATATAAAAGTAACTCAGCTATCCCTCCTAAAATATAAACTTTCTTCATTCATGTACAGACAGAAGAACAAAGTATTTTCCGTCTGAACAAAATGCACAAATCCCAGAAATGACCAACGACTAAGAGTGAAGTGGACTGGATATCAAAACACAGTAGGTGTGAGACCCAATGGATCAAATTGAAACTGAAAAAGGAAACCGAAGTAAAAAAACAAACACCAAGAAGGCTTCTCAATTCTCTAATTTCCCCTCCTCGACTCCTCGGTCCTCCGGTAGTGACCCGGAAATGGATTTCAGCTCGCCATGTTGAAGGACATCTCATTTCTCTAAATGCACATCGAGGACCGAGGATCGAGCATCGAGGAGGCTCTCTGGAGGAGCTATAATCGAGGAGACACTGATGGTTCCTCCACGGCTCATCCACGGATGCATTTCCGGCAACAGAGATGTTTCAAAGAGTCGTGACGCACGGCCGGACTGATCTCAGCCAATGACAGCTCTGCATGCATCCCCTGGATATTATTTTATTAACTGCTTTCATCGCGACGCAATGTTTACAGTGAGAACAGCTGTGAGGTCCGTGCAGAAAGCAGAGCAGTGTGTATAATATATATCACTCAGTATAACAGGCCTACATTACTCTCTTTATTTGTATGCTTTAGTTTAGTAGATGGGGGGGTATATCCAGTCTCTGATTGTGTTACGTTATTATGAGAGTGCTCTCATACTTGTTTGATTCTGAAATTGTATATATTTATATAAATATATGTCCGCATGTGTAGCCTGTTATTGTCTCATTATACCGCACTGTGAATGAATCAAAAGTAAATATATGAGTCGTCATGAACACATCTGTCCATCAGACAGAGGGCTGCTGTGCCTCCTGTCATCATTAATGGATGTCTCTTTAAAATGACCACTCAGAGGAGAGGAGTTCTCATTTCTCTAACCGCCTGCTGCTTCCCCTCCTCTCTCCTCGGTTCCCCTCCTCGACTCCTCCGCTCGCATCTCCTGTGGGCGGGACTAAGACACGAGGATAGGAGTCGAGGAGGGGAGTCGAGGAGGGGAAATTAGAGAATTGAGAAGCCTTCCATGTATGGATGCACACAAAGGGACAGCTGGAAGAAGAAGTATATGGAAAAATTTGATAACACAAAAAAGGGCTTGGTGTACTTGAATGAAAATGCAGTGTGAGAAAAAGTTTTTAGAGAGTACTTGTCCATGGACAAGTGAGTTTGGCAATTTACTTGTCCGAATACATTTTTCACTTGTAAATTGGGGCCACTGGAATCTTCTTCTTCGCCAACGTATTTTACATTTTCCCACGTTTTTTATGACACCGCTAACGTAAGTGAGCGGTAAGATTTTACTGCATCACACATAGGGTTGGGTATAGTTTGGATTTTAACGAGTCAAATCTGTATTCCTATTTACAAATCACTTCATACTGTTTAATTTCTTACGGTTATTGAATACAATTATATAAAAATAATCTCTGCATTGTTTAGTTAGTTCTAAGTGGTGCAGTTTGAGAATGTACAATTGGCCAAGTCTCCTCTGATGTTACACTGCAACCTGCCTGTGAGACAGAGTCCAACCACACATGTCCAACACATAGGCCTAATAATAATAATAATAATAATACATTATATGTATAGCCTATAGGCCTAGCGCTTTTCTACAACTCAAAGACGCTTGCATACTTACACATGTCCTGCAATACACATGCTGCAGCTGCCCAGCTGCTCACTGTTTGTAAAAGTAAATAAATAGTATTTTCTATACCCTGCTTCATAAACAATACTGACATCCCTGTGCTCCTCCGAGTCTGGGGGTCGGGGGATGCGAGGACAGCGCGAGGACACAGACAGGGAGGCTGCTTTACTTCATAAAGGAAATGGCGGTCAATATTAACAACGTAGGAGCTAAA